GTCCTTCAACCGGGGTGGCTTTGGCCGAGAAGAAAACATGAAAGGATGGAGTCTTATGCATGGAGAAAAGTGCTCTTTTCCAAGGAAGGGAAGGATTTGAATGGCAAGAGGCTGCAGAGAGAAAAGGTGAAGGAAGATACTCTAGCGCTCCTTTCTCCACTACGTTCATCAGCCTTCCAGGCGTGCAGTATTGTTCAAACAAAACAATACAGGCAGAGCTTCAGCAGAAGCAGATAGCATACGACATGTGTGCATGGAAATCCAAAGCCTTATATTCCCCCCATTATTTATAAAAGGTAAAATAAAATTTCCATTCATTAATAAGCATCTTATCATAATTTACTAAACTTACTCAACCTGCACTATAGGTGACTAACCTGAATAGGAGATGGCTTTTCCCAGCCCATTTCAAAAATTCCCATCAGCAACTCCCGCTTCAGACAATAATCTTCAAACTCATTTCCTTTTGTTGACGTCACATCCTGGAGAAGCAAAGCAGAATCGTTAACTCACGTGATGTCAGTCTCAATGCAAAGTGCACTCTGAAGCTAAGCCCAGCAGCAGGGTGGGTACTCTGATATGGCTCAACGCTCCCCCAGGGACTGAAGACATTCTAGAAAGCAGTGGGAAGCAGAGAAACTGGGCTGGCCAAGGCTATGGTGTTAAAATCTAGAAGATGTGTGTACTTGATAAAAATGTATGGGGGGGGGGGGGGGTAAATGGTGGTAGGGGATGGGGTAGCATTAAATTCAAGGTAAGTTGCAGTCTATACCCACTGCTGCTGATTTTATTCAGAACTGGGATGCATAGGGGAGGAGGGGAATATGTATGATTTTCTTTTAGTTTCACCAGTTAGTTTAAGATGGTTATTTGTAATTAGCTGCATCATCTACAGCAGGCAGCCATCGCTTGCAACAGACATTTTTAGTTGGTGTAATTTCAGATTTTGCAAGTAGATAGCAAAGTAGGCAACCTATCTCAATGTGAATTCTGTAAGACAAATGTGATTTAATCGGTTTGAAACCTTACACTTCAATGAAAGGAACACCTGCTGCCAAGCATCAACATCACTTCCTTTCCCATGTTTAAAATTTTAGAAAGCCCTTACCGACGTTTTGATTCTCAGGTCTTTCGGAGGGAGCTTTAAAGTCTTCTTCCAGTCATCGCCAGGTCTGAAGTGAGAAAACTATTAGCTACTGGACCTGATTTTGGTCTAGCCACACATCACATATGATACAATCACTCTCAGAGTTGAAAAATGCAAAAATAACAGCCCTTTTAATCCACCTAGAATCTGACAAACTTCATGACATAGGAAGCAAAGGACATTTTAAGTCAGTATAATCAAGTGTTAACATAGCATTAAGCAAGTACTGGAGAATGTGGAGAGAATCTGAACATGTCATATACTACTGAGTAACTTTTAAGTTCAGTCACAGTTACCTTTTTCTCCATATCTCAAAACAGCAGCCTCCGTTTTATAAGATATGCAGGACTGGTAACATGTGGCTGGACTAAAATCAACAGCTTCCACTGTACAAAGTATATTTGTACCAGTGCTCTTCAGGACCTTAGCCACTAAACCACGGTGTGTTAAAAGCCCAGAAGAAACTTTCTTCAACTCCTTATTGCACAATCATTCTCAACTGTGAACAATGCAACAGACCATAATTGAAGTTGCTTTCCCAATGCTGAGCAAGCTATGGGCACTCCTGAAGACTTGTGCTCTTGAATACAAGCAGTGTTGACATGCCAGGATGCATAGGAGGAGACCCTGGTGATGCTTCCAGACCTCTCTAGAGCTGATTACCTAGAGCTGCAGCAGAAGGCACTGTTCTACAATGCCTGCCGCTACTTGCAGAGCAGTCACCCTAAGCTGGAAGACGGTTATTTTCCCTGGGAAGTCCCAGGCTCCCTATTTTGTTCTGTACCATCTCACCGTATTCTTCCATCAAAGCCAAACTGGTTGCATGTTTGGTTTAAATGAGCAGAGATCACAGGATCAAGGCAAACTGCTGCAAAGAAATGTCATGTTAAAAAGAATCAATTCAGTTTCCTCCAGAAAAGATATGCCAGTTGCTCACACCAATATAACCTGGACATTACTTGTTTTAGGCTGGGTAACCCTTTGGAAGTCTTCTGAAGCAATTACATGATTCACCACTTCCATTTCCATTGCTACAATGGTGCTCGATAAACTTGCTGTTAGTAAGGGAACCTCCCAAATATATAGGATTGTCTATTATATGTTGATTCTCTGCTTTAATCAATCCCTAATGCAGGAAGCAATCTGACCCCTGCTTTTAGCCAAGGATACTCAATATCAGTTCTAATAAAAATAAAGCAGTTCTAGTGTTAGCCTAAGGGCTTAGTGAGTTGAATCCAAGGTGCTGGTTCCTTCCTTTAGTGCTTTCTAAAGCAACCGTCCCAAATCACTGGAGCCCTTTTCTCAGTATGCTGCCCAAAGTTCTTTCAATAGTAAGACTGGTGGCATATAAATTTAATAAATAAGTAAATGTGCTTCTCCATTCACCTGGGAAAAATCTGTACTGGGCACCCAGTTGAGAGAGGTGTCTAGGACCTGTATTGGGGGGGGGGGGGCTGCAGTTGTGGCGGTTCCCACTCATAGGAACCCAGCAGAAGTAGGAATCCCTCAGGTTGCTCAGCGGGCAGCCTTTCTTTAGGGTCTCCTAACAACTGCATGTCTTTACCCTTTGCTTCATCCCATGCTAAATTAAACTATAGGAAGCAAAGAACGGATAAGTAAAATATGACAAATGTGAGACAAATGCAATTCAGGAATAACATCAAATATTGCTGTAGTTGGTAAAACGGGTACAAGAAGGAAAGTGCTCACACTCCATCCAGAAGTCAAAACTCTGAGGACATTCTGGCTGCCTGACAAGATGGCTGCCAACGCTCTAGACAAGTACTCACTTGATGGTGGAGGCCATGCTCTGTGCTTGCTGCTGAGTGCCATTGTTGATTGTGTTGGGATGTTTCAGCTGGTTTATCTGTTGCTGAGCCTGTGTCCCCCCGCTTCCTGGACCACCACCAGGTTTTACTGGGCCCCTCAGCTGTCCATTTTGACTGGAGAGACCCATTATAACAGGGTTCTCTGTTCTGGCCGTACTCATGTTTGCCTTTTAAATGTCTTTCAACTTCCAAACAGTTGTGAGTACGGAAAGTGTAATAGTTTATTAAACTCTCCAAGATGAAGAGATAAATTAGGTCCTGCTCAATAGATGAGTCTCTTATTGCAACACAGGCAAACACCTGTAAAGTCACCCAAGAGAAACCAGTCACTTGCGCTGATGCCCTGTGGGACCACTCTTTAAAAAGTCTTCCAACACACTTGAGTTCCGTCCAATCTACTCACTTCAATCTGAAAAGAAGGCAGACAAAGCCGTTAGTACCTGCAGCTGCTGGCTGCATCCACTTCCAAGGAAGTTTGGGGGACGCAAGTAACCTGGGCGGCAGATGGTCCGGCTGGGGGCAGGGAACACATACCTTTTCTCCTGCGCCATTCAAGGGACGGAGGTTGGCGAAGCTTCCCCGCTAAGATACGTCTCAAAACTGCCCCGCTCCCCCGCCGGCCCGCCCACCCGGGGGCGAGAGGGTCCGAGGCCCGGATTCAGCCAGCCTCCCCGCCTCTGTTCACGGCCTCTGGATGAAACGGCCCCCCTTCCCCGCCTTTGTCTCAGGCCCGGCCGGAGGCGGTGGCAACCCAGGCCTCGCGTCGGGAGGCGGACCAGGCCGCCCGGAGGACGCGCCGGAGGCCTCGCTCCGGAGTCGAGCGGCACAAAGGCGGGCGCTCCCGGCCCCGCGGAGCCTCAGCCGGATGGGCAGAGAGGCCCTCGGTCGCCGGCCCTCGCCGCGCCGGAAAAGCCCACCCGCCCAACCGCCGCGGAGGCCGGCTCCGCAGCGCCGCTCTCCACCGCCGGCGGCCCGGGCAGCCATACGAGCACCTCTCAACCACAGCCCGCCCGCCTACCTGCCTGCCTGGCGGCCGCGCTCGCTTCCCGCTGCGGCTCGGCCCGTCTCGCAGCCCGTCGGCCGTGACTCCGCTCGGACTATGGCGGCGGCGGCGACGCGACAACAAGATGGCGGCCCTTCCCTTCCTCCTTCCTTCCGTCCTGGCGCGCGCGCCCTCTTCCTCCTCCCCCTCGAGCCACACCCACCGCCCGGCCGCGCAGGCGCCCAGCGACGCTTAAGAGCCGTGCCCCCCCCCGGGGGGGCGTGCTGGGAGGCCTCTCCGGGGCGCCCCTCCCGACTGCGACCGGCGCGGCTCTGCTGCGGTCCCGGCGCCCTTCCCGGGGGAGGCGCCCCTTCGCGCTTCCCGGTGTCGCCTGTCCAGTGCCGGCCGAGCCAGGGAGGCGCTCTCTGGGCCAGCTGGCCCCGCCAAGCGCCCCCCCTCCTGCCCCGGGGGGCTTTGAGCGGGGACGCGGCGGGCCTGCCGGTGCCCTGGGAGAACGGGCTGGCCGGCCTAGAAGCTCTGGAAGCGGAACCCTTCAGGGAGCCTGAAAAGGGTCGCTTTGGCCGCGTGGCTCTTTTTCATACCAGCCCAGCGAAGGAGACCAGCTCAACTTTGTTCCCAGTGCGGAACAAAAGTCCCATTCAGGAATTACCCATTTCTAGGAACGTCGTTCCCATTATGTGAGTTCATAGGTGCGACATTAACAAAGCCCCGTCCTGGAAGTGATCTTTGCCCAGTCTGATCAAAGCAAGAGGGGCAGGGTAAATAACGGTGCAAACAAGGCCTGAATATCCCCGTCTTCCTGGTGTGCTCATCACAAACCTGAGTGAGTTGGGTTGAGTCGCCTGAGACCGGAACAGAAGATGGAAACTTCTTAAAAAGTGGTTTTATGTAATCAGGATCTTAAAACTTAATTTGGCTTGCAAATCAGGAGCTTCCGTCTCTTGTTTGGCCATTCCTCCTCTGATCATTTCTCTGCTGAACCCGCAACAGGTGGGCACCCCTGTGTGTGGCTTCCTAAGTCATGGCCGAGTTTAGGATCACCCTGGAGAATGTCAACTGGGTGAGTGTGGCTGGCAGCTCTGACAAAGACCTGGGTTGCTCCATGAACGGGGCAGAGGCGGCCAGAGAAGCGCTTGGCACTTCTGCTGGCCTGAAGGATGGGGGATCCCTCTGGAGGGGGCAGGAGTGCTAGCCCTCCCCACCCGAATTCTACTGGGAGGGAGATTGTGTCTCCACTGCGAAGTGTGCAGGCAGGACTTGGGCTTTTATCATTTGGGCAGACCACCTGGTCCAGCTTTCACCTCCTCCAATCTGCCCCTGGGGAGGGGGGGTTGATGGCTTCCTGGAAGCCCCTTGCTGCTGCCAAATGCTCAGCACCTGCATGGGTGTCCCTGTGCATCTGGGGAAGGTTGCGTGCAAGTGCTAAGGCAGCCAGATGCCAGCCACAGGCTGAGCGGGGCCAGGAAAGAGCTGCAGATTCTCCTCCACAGCTCCCCGGCCTTCCTGTTTTTGAGCCCCCCCCCCTCCCCTTGTCTTCTGAGCTGGAATCGGCCTCTGGGGGCCTCTTACAAAAAAACCCAAGGGAGTATGTTCAGAAGGAAGTGACTGCTTACCCCTCCTTTTCTTTCTTTTTTTCTTGTTTTACTGGTTTTCAAAAACTCCCACTCAGAGAGAAGGGGCAGGAGCTGGACCCCTCCGTGAATGCGATGGGAGGGGCATGGCTGGAGAGGACCCCTTAAAGTGGAGAGAAGTCAAGGGAACACACAGATCGGACCCCTCTGCAACAGAACGATGGGCTTTGGGACTGGCGGAAGCAGCCATCTGCAGGGCCTGTGAGGTTTCCGCTGGGGCCACTCCCCAGAACCCATCAGTCCCCCAGGAGAGAAAAGAGAAGAGCCGACTTCCCCTTTTTCCTCTTCCTCTGTCCCCTCACCCAGGGCTGATGGGGGCCCCCACCCTGCAGCAACTAAACTGGCCTGGCACACCCCAAAGCAGCAGCCCCGCAGGGTTGGGAACCTTGACGAGTGTTTGGGGAAGAGCCGGCTGGCCTGTTTTTCAAGGCCAGTTCACCTTCTGGCCAAGCAATTCTCATGGTCACCCCGTCAAAAGAGATTGCTTCTCTTTGCAAAATTTGGATAAAGTTGTTAATTGAAACTACTTTGAAAATTGATCTGAGTTTGGATTAATCTGGGATTTTATAGAGGATCTCAACCAGTTTGGGATTAATGTGGATTAATGTATCTGCATTGCTCTGTGTGTCCCCCCCCCCCCAAAAAAAAACCAAGGAAGGAGGAAAAGGGGGAACTGACCGCGCTCCTCCCCCGCTTGCTTTCTCCCCTACTTGCGTTCCCAGTTCCTGCTCCTCTCTCCCCACTGCATCCACCTGGCTCTGTACAGGGCTGACTTTGGAGCAGAAGTGTAGGGAGGGTTCAGTTCTACGATTGCAATTGCCTTCCGGGCTTGCAACTCCATTTTTAAATTCAAACTTAATTAAACAATTGAAACTGCACAACTTTAAGGAAAGACTGCAACGAACATTCTCCCCTCCTTCAATTTCAACCTCTGCTTCCTCTTCACCTTTTGAAACAGAGCTTTGAACACTATTAAAAGCCCTTTCAAAGACCTGGCAAGGGCTACGTTTGAAAAATGAAAATGGGCTTGTGAAATTGACCAGAGGTTAAACAAAGTTGAACTGATTTCTGAATATGACCCCCCCTCAAAAAGAGAGGAGAAAATCCAAAATATTAAAGTACAAGGTGATAAGTTGAGGGAATTTTTCCCCCTTCAGGGAAAAAAAAAACCCTTGAATCCACTACTTATCTCCAAGATAGGAAGAATCTTGGATGGTTTACCTGCCAGCCAGCGGTGGGTCCCTCCCCTGAGGAAAGCCTCCGCCTGCTTCCTCCTGCAGCCAGCGGGGTTGATGCCCGTTGCCCTCTTGTGGGTTGTTTAGCACAGGCTCCCTGACCGACCGTCCTCTCTTGCTCCACTGCTAACTTGGCATGAAGACCATGGCAGCAGCTGAGGCTGGACTGAGGCCGCTGGCTCAGAAGCTGCTTTCATGTCTCCGGAGGGGGAAGAGGGAAAGGGGCCTCTAGAAGCAATCCAGGGCCGCCCAGAGGTCAATCCGCTGGTGTTCCTTGATCCTCCCTGTTTGTCCAGTGCCCTGATTGTCCCCACCGTTGGAGGAGGCAAGGATGGGGGGGGGGGGGAATCTGGGCCTGTGTGTGTGTCTGAATAGCCTTTCTCTGCAAGGGACAGCACACAGAAGCCCCTGCGCATCAACCCCGTTTGCCTGTTGCTCTCTTCCCAGACCTTCGACTACAACTTCACTGACAGTGAAGGGAACAACTCCTACGATGACAATTACTTGTGTCCTCAGGCGGAAGACGGCCCCCAGGGTGTCCTGGTGCCTTGCATCCACCTGCTCATCTTCCTGCTTGGTGCCCTGGGCAACCTTCTGGTGGTGGTCATCCTGTTGCGCTACAGGCATTCCCGCACCTCCACGGAGCTCTTCCTCCTCCACTTTGCCCTGGCCAACCTGTTGCTGCTGCTCACCTTCCCCTTCGGCGTGGTGCAGAGCCTGAACGGCTGGGTCTTCGGCCTCTTCCTCTGCAAGCTGCTGAGTGTCGCCAACCGGATGAGCTTCTACAGCAGCAGTCTGCTGCTCGGCTGCATCAGCGTGGACCGCTACCTGGCTGTGGTCTGCGCCCTGCAGACCTTCCAGAAGCAGCGTGGCCTCTCCATCCACCTGACCTGCCTGGGCATCTGGCTGCTCTCCTTCCTGCTGGCCATACCCGACTTGCTGTTCACAGAGGTCTGGGTCCAAGGCCACAACCTGAGCCTCTGCCACTTCAGGGAGTATGGCACGCATGGCATCAACTCCTGGCTGGCCGAGCGCTTCCTCTACCACCTGGTGGGCTTCTTCCTGCCCTTGGGAGTCATGTGCTATTGCTACGCAGCCATCGTGAGGCTCCTCTGCCAGTCCCAGCGGCTGCAGCGGCAAAAGGCCGTGAAGGTGGCCATTGCGGTCACGAGTGTCTTCCTGCTCTGCTGGACCCCTTACAACGTGGTCATTTTCTGGGACACCCTTACGAAGCTGGAGATTACAAGGAAGTCCTGCACGGTTGACCAGGCACTAAGCAGGGCCATTGTGGTAAGCGAGGTGCTTGCCTACAGCCACTGCTGCCTGAATCCCATCCTCTTCACCTTTGTGGGCACCCGGTTCCGCCATGACTTTTGTCGACTCCTGCACGATGTGGGCTGCCTGAGTCAGGGGGCCCTGCAGGAGGTTCTGGGCACCTGCAGAATGGAGAGCAGCATGGAGACCAACATCTCCAGTGTTCGGTATGGGGCCTCCTCCTACTCTGGAAATGCCACGCCTTCCGGTCTGCCAGATCGGTTCACTTCTCACAAGGATCCAAATGGCCAAGAGGAGGAAGGCTCGGACCTGACTTGGGCCCAAAACAGAGGCTAAGCCCCACATATGTTCTCTGATCCCTTCCCTGCTGTTTCCCATGAAGCTACGAATGGCTCGGCTGCTGCCCCCAGCCTGCAATTGTCCGGGTTCAGAGTGCGGTGCTCACACACAGATCAGGTTTACTTGAGAGCAGGGTTGTGTCCTCATTGCCTCCCTACAGAGCAAGGGTCTTCAAACGTGGCAGCTCTAAGACTAGTGGACTTCAACTCCCAGAATTCCTGAGCTAACGTGACTGGAGGAGGAATTCTGGGAGTTGAAGTCCACAAGTCTTAGAGCTGCTGAGTTTGAAGAGCCCCACTACAGATCATGTTGCATATTTGGATTCCAGGCTCCCCCAACCCCCCAAACGCAACTGGAAATGGAGAGGGGAGATCCAGCTCCAGGGCCTGATTTGGGCTTTCCAATCTTCAGCTAAGGCCTCCTTAAGTAACCAGAAGGAGAGTCCAGAGGAACAGGGCAACCTCTTTGGCCTCTCGGTGTCCAAGGGCAGGACTCGCCCCAGGAGACCCTTGCCATGGTCAGTATTGGCGTCCCAATCAGCCCAGGCGCCTTGGAATTGAGTGGGGAACCCCACAGCCCAGGCCCTGGCCCTTCTGCTTTCGTCTGCCCCAGGCAGGCAGGTTCTGCTCTGGGCAGGCTTTCCACTTAGCAGCGTGTCCATCTCCGGTGTGGGCAGGCGAGGAACTCCTCCGTTCTTTCCCCAAAGGAAATCAAGCCTCCCATGTCTCATCAAACCTGCTATGGCCTCTGCCTCGTTGCCAGTGGGAGCCAAGCCTGCAACTGCCCCCCCTTGGCCCCCGCCCGGCCTTTGCAACTGTGGCCTCCCCCCAGAGCGGCACCATCACAGGTTCGGCGGGTTTTCACCGACCTCTAAAATCCCCAGGCTTGTTTACCAAAATTCCCAGTAATTTTGCATTTTTACTGTAAATACTTCCTGTGGAGAATGCGTGAAGTAGATTGTAAAACTTCCTTGTGCTTTCCCTTGCTTGAAATAAAGACGTTGCAAGCCTCCCTTTTCTTCCTTCTGGCAAGCGGAAGCCCCAGCGGAGGAAGCGGCCGATTTTGCTCAGCCTGCAGCTGGCACAGCACTCCCCGCCACCTCCCACGTGGGGGGGCTATGAGGGGTCAGGGCTTGGGGGCATCCGGTGTGTCCGCTGGCTTTTCAGGGCAGCACCAAGGGCCCCTCATTTCAACCCCGCCTTACAAATACTCTCCTCCATAGTGAACTTTTTAAAACCGAAAACATTAACATAGGAAACCACCCTCCACCGACACAGCAGCCAAGGAAACCTCTCAATGTACAGAACTACTTAAAAGAGCCGGGAAGGGGAGGATGGGAGGCCCCGCTCCAATCTCGGAGATGGTGAGGCTTCCGCCCAGTTGGCCAGTGCCAATCCCCGCATTGGTAGAGATAAGGACACCACAGAAAGCTCCTGGCAGAAGTTTAATTTTTTTTAATAAAAAGGCACCTATAAAACAGGTCAATCAATACATTACAGGCAGCACAGATACCCCAAAACAAGCCTAGAAATCATTTCAAAATAAAAACCGGTAAGATGTCTTCACATATTGTATTTATATATTTATATTTATATATTTTTATTTATAGACTGGTACAAAATGCATGGCTGGCAGGAGATGGCACGGAGCATCCAGTGCCCTCCTCCATCAGCCGCAGGGGCTCTGGGTCACCTCCTCCCTTGGCCTCATCCTGACTGATGGCAGAGGAAGGGGTGGGGTGGGGGGGGAGGATGCTCAGCAGAGGCGACTCAAGCTGGGGAGGGAGTCGGAGGGAGGGAGTCGGGAGACACGAGACAGGACCACGTCCACAGCACAAGGCAGAGCTGGAGAGGGAGGGGGGCAGGGAGCCCATGAATGCGCCGAGCAGGGAGGAACAGGGCGGTGGGTCACTGGAAGCACCTTCTGCGGCCTTGGGGCTGGGGTGTGGGGTGCTGTGGTGGAGAAACTCCTGGCCAGGCCTTTGCTTGGATAAGAGACCCTGGAAAACCAGCCCTTCCCCCTGGCTTCTCTCTCCCCAGCACACACTTTCCGTAGCCCCCTCAACCCTCCCTCTTCTGAACTTCACTGCCAAAGCTGGGGCGGGGGGAGGTCTCAGGCAGAAGCCGAGTTTCAAAGTGCAGAAGCGCCCCAGCTTGGCAGTGCCAGATGCATCTGCTGGAGGGTCCTGCGATCCAGGACACTCCTCCAACCCTGGCCAGGCAGAGAGGAAGAGGAAGGGCCTCCCTTCATCTAGAGTTAGAGGGCAGGGTGTGAACTGCCCCCCCAACTCACACGAGGGGCAGGTGAGCCCTTCCCCAAGGGAGGCTACGGGGCCTGCCCTCTCATGCCCGTCTCTCGGTCTCTGGCTTGCTTTTTGCTTCTCTTTGTCCATCATGGGAACTGCTGCCAAAAGGAAGCCACCTTTCTTTTGATGGGGGACTATTTGGACCTTTGATCCCCAAACCTCCCCCTCCCCTCGGATATTATCCCACGACAAGCCCAGAAGCGCAAGGTGGCATGGAAGCCAAGGGAAGGGCTGGGCTGGACTCACCCAGACTGGCCCCCCTCCGTGGGAAAGAGAGCGAGTGCAGAAGGCCGCTGAAAGGGCAGCGCCCAACAGTCCGGGAAGGCCCCCTCGCGTTCCCTGCGCTGGCCATGATCCCTTCACAGCACGGGGGGAAGGGCCAACCCACTCCCGTGGCGTTTCTTCCGGGCCAACGTCCTGCAAGGAGAGCTAAGTGGGGGTGGGGGTGCAAATGCCCCCTCAGGCCCTGTCCCAGCACCAGCCTGGAGTGTCCAGCCTTGGAACAGCTGGTGCACGGACTCCGCTCTGTTGCAGGCAGCTGCTGGGTGGGACTTCCGCCTGGTGCCAGGGCAACCGGTCGAGGGCATCCACCTTTCCCTCCGTTTACTCCGACCCAGAGAAGGCTGGGCCGGCGGTTGCTCCCCGAGACCTGTGGAGGCCTCCCGATTTCTCTTCCAGAAGCAAAGCAGAGAAGATTCCTTAGAAGGGCAGGTTGGCCATGCCGCCGCCTCCGGGGCCGTAGCTCACCTGGCCGTCCAGGGACACGCTGCGCTGGCGCATGGAGACCATGAGGTTCTGCTGGGAAGGGGGCCCCATAAGCGAGCCCTGGGGGGAGAGCAGGTGCCCCGCTGGCTGCCCGTACATCTCTCCGGAGACCGAAATGCTGCGCTGCTTGGCCTGCATGAGCAGGAAGTTCTGCTGGGCCAGGAGGCTCTGCTGGGGCAGCACCAGCCCCTGGGGCAAGCTGTTGCCCACCAGGCCCTGCTGGGGGGGCAGGCCTGTCCTGCCCAGCATGGGCATCTGTCCGGGGTGGCACAGAGACATTCCGCGTGGCATCACTTGTGGGCCGGGCCGGGCCGGGCCCTGTTCCGCCATCATGTTCTGCAAGTTCGCCAGGTGCAGGTTGGAGGGGGGGAGGGTCTTGACCCCCTGGCCCTCCCCCTTGGGGAAGTACTGCAGGGTGCTGCTGGGCTTCTCCGAAGGGATGATGCGGGAGAGGTCGAACTCGGGAATGCCTGTCGGGGTGGGCCGGATCACGTCGCTCAGCTCTGGATCGCTCAGCACGGAGGCCACCCCGGGAAGCACGGAGGGGTACGGCTCCGGCAGCCGACCGGCCAGGCGCTGCTGAGAGGGCGCCTGCTGGGGGGGCAACTCCTCTGGAGGGACTCCCAAGCCAGGGGGGTAGTGCTGTTGCTGAGAGGGAGGCGGCGGCTGCAACCCAGGCCCGGCCGCCCCTCCTGGGGCCATTGGAATGCCGCCTCCGTTGGCGGGGGGCTGCTGCAGGCGTGTTGCAAAGACCAGCTGGCCAGAAGGGCCGCAGGACTGGCCCAGGGAGTCTGGGGGCCCGGGGGGCATCATCGGGTTCTGCCCAGGAGCGCTGCTGTGCATGGGGAGGCCGGTCCCCAGGGGGCTGGGCGAAGACATTGGGGGGGCTGCCACTTCCTGGGAGAGCAGCTGCTGTCCAGCGAGGTTCAGGCCCATCGGGCTCGGCACGGGGGCCGGCCCCACAGAGTTCACATGCATTGCATTGGTCTGGCTTCCGCCCATGCCTGCAAGGGGAAAAGGTGCTAAGTCCTGGGGCAGAACGCATCGCAAGCATGCCCCAACTCGATGGCCTTGTTATGGGGCGCAGAGGAGGCCCCTGGAAGCCTCCCCACCCCCACCCACCCCCTTTGCGCCCAAGAAGTAAGGCTGGCTTATTTGGCATTCCCTCCCTGCCTTTCTCTGAACAGCTCCTGCCTTCCTTCTCCGAGGTTCCCTCCCTCCAGGCCCACACGCCCACTGCTCTCTACCGCCTTGTTGCTGTGGGCTTTGGGGAGAAAGGAGGGTCCGGCTCCTCTGGCCCACTCCCCTAGAGCAGGGTCTATCCCAAGAAGGGAGGGAAACCACCCGGGAACGGGGCAGAAAGGGGACATCATTCTCCTGGCTCTGGAGGGTGTGTGTGCAGGAGTGCGAGTGCCCACAGCCGGCCCTCTGAGTGCCCCCCCTCTTACCAGCCAGAGCCCCAGGCGGCAGCAGCGGCCGGTCCGGGAGCAGTTCATCATCTGAGGTGGCGATGGTCTTGATGGCGTTGTGGTAGAGTGGCGTGGAGCTGGGCATGGCGTATTTGGACATCTGGGACATCATGAGGGACAAAGGGTTCTGGGATGGGGGTGGATCTGGAGAGGAAGGAAAAGGCAGGTTGGGGTTCAGGGGCCCAGAGGTATTGCCAGGCGGGGCAGAGGAGCTGCTCCGAGACCCAGAGGGCACGGCACCTGCAAGAGAGACACACAGGCACCTTCAGGCCAAGCCAAATGAACGCCGGGCCATCCTTGGAGATGAGCCGGGCGAAGAGCTGACATCGTGTAAATCATGCCGCCCAAAGGCATCTGGGAAGCCCAGCGGCCTGGCCAGGAGGGCAGCTGCTCTCTTTCCCTCCAGCTCCCCCAGCTGGCGCTGAGCAGATGCCCTGTGCGTGTGTGTGTGCGCGCGCTTGGGGGTGTGTGTGTCTAAATAGCCTCCTATTGTGTGGTCCCTGGGAGGCTTTGGGGTGCTCACCGGTTCTCTCCCGTCTAACTCCACCCCACCTCACCCCCAGGGCAGGTAATGAGCCCCACAGATATTCCAGTCGAGGCCAAAGCCGGCTGAGACCCCTGGATATCTCGGACCTGCAAGCTGGGGCATAATCTCCCAATTGGATCTGCTGGATTAGTTTAGGGGCGGGACAGGCTGCTTTTGGCATTTCAGAGCTAAAAGGAAAATATGGTTATATCCCCCCACCCCCAACCCAAAAAAAGAGCATAGGAATGCGGGTGCTCTGCAGGACGACGGCGCAGACTGGTTGCAGCCAACCGCAAAAAGCAGCCTGAAGCGAGAGGGTGACCCCCATGAACCGGGAACAGAGCCTTGCAGTCGCATTATTGGGTGCCTTTCATTCAACTGCAAGCGAGAGGAAACGCGGGGGCGGTTTTGTCCCTGTCCCCATTTTGCTAGGGGGCCTCTCAGGAGCCACGTGGAAGGAAGGGTGACCCTGGACTGAAAGGCCGCTGCTCAGACGGACAGGCCTGCTGCCTTCGATGGAAACGGGGCACTGGATCTACAGGGCCCGGCCACTTCTTTCGTGCTTTCTTCAAGGTCAGTCCAAACCCAGAACGACTGAGCTGAACTGGCGTTTCTCGGAGGCCAGGCGTGATCCTTGCAGTGAAGTGGGAGATGGATCTGCCGCCAGGTGCCTGGCAGTCCCACCTGCCAGGTGGCTCAACAAGAGGAACGGAACGGGGAGCCATGGTTACAACACTGTCTGTCCAAAGTCCCCCTCCTCTTCCCGCAGAGAGAAAGCCAACTGAACAGGGACTCCCTGAAACCCAGAACGTCTCCGGAAATTCTCCCTTCCCACAACTGCTCAGCACCTCTGCCCTTACCTTGCTCAAGGTGGCCCAAGGGGGCAGAGTTGCCCATTCCGAGGGCTGGCTTGCCTGGGCTGGCGAGGCTGGCCTTGGGGGAGGGTGCCCATCCTGGGGAAGACACGGCCATGGAGGGCGATTTGAGATGGCCGGGCGAACTAGTTGGGGAGCGGACATTCAGCACAGAGCCCAGCACCTGGGGGGACTTGAGGGGGGCACTGCTGGCAGCGGCAGCTGGCAGGCTGACCAGGGCAGAAGGCGTCTGTGGCGACTTGAGGTTGGCCGAAGGGGACGTGCCCAGCGGGGAATGTGCTTGGCTGAGGGTGGGAGACTTGAGGCGGCCCACGCTGGGCGAGTTCATCTGCCCCATGTTGAGGGCCAGGTCCGAGGGGCGGCGGCCCAGGCCCCGGATGGGGGCCGCATGCAAGTTTGTGGCTGAGGTGCTGGTGCTGGGTGGCAGGGGAACGTGGCTGAGCCGTGGGGTGCCAGCCATGCCGCCCCCATCCGGACCAAACATATCAGGCGTGCCGCCCAGCTCTGGTGGCACAGGCGGGTAAGGGCCCTGCCCGGTCGGGAAGCTCTGCTGCTGTCCCTGGCCTGGGAAGGGCGAGCCCATCAGCATCTTTGGGGGGGCCCCCATCATGGCCCCAGTACCGTTTGGGGCTCGCCCTCGGGCCATTTCCTCAGGGGGCATCAGCTCTGGGCCGCGGGCCTTCTGGGTCAGCAGCATTTGCTGTTGCTGCTGCTGCTGCGGCGTCATCTGCACACTCAGGTTCATGTTCATGTTCACGTTCATGTTCAAGTTGGTGGGTGTGGCCAAGGCGCCCGGCTCCACCTCCTGCAGTGGGGGAGGGGGGCTCATCAGGGCCCGCCCCCCCCCCGAACTCCAGGCCCAGCCCTTCTCCGGCAAAGAGGCCAGGCTCCACCTGCCGGTGGGTCGGCAGGACGCGCTCCATCTCCAGCCCCAGGGACCCTGGCCGCTTCTCCAACAGGGGGTGACGCAGCAGGTCCTCGCGCGCCCGGGATGGCAGGAAGCGCTCGGCCTCGCCCTGCCCTGGGGGGTACGAGAGGCCCCCAGGCACAAAGTGCCCCGGACTCCTGAGGGGCAGGTCTTCGCCCCACGGTAGGCCGGGCTGCCCGGGGCGGGGCCCACCGCCAACCGGGCCAAGGGGCTCCAGGGGCAGGTTCGGCATCGTGGCAAAGCCCCTCTGGATGTGGCTGCCTGGGAAGCCACGGGGGCCGGGGAAGGTGGGCCGCAGCTGCTCCTGAAGGTCCAGGGGTGTCCCCCGCAGCAGCCACTGCTCCCCGGGCCGGCTGTGGTAGGGCGGCGGGGGCCCCCGGAGCATGACGCCTCCCAGGGGCTGGGCCAGCATCACTTCCTGCAGTGGCCGCCCGCCATGCAGGCCGGCCTGCTCCTCCTTGCGGCGCTTCTCCTCATAGTACTCCTCCTGCAGCTTGCGCCAGGCCACCTGCTCGGGGGTCAGGCTGTCCTGGCCGAGGCGCTGCAGCACCACGTTCATCGGCTGCCCCAGGTCCACCCCCGGGGGCAAGGGCCCCTCCTGCTCCAGGCCTGGACCCCCCAGGCTCTGCGTCTGCGAAATCATGGACTGCAGCGGCTCCTCGTACTTCTTCACGCCTGTCCCGGAGAGGGCAGCCTGGGGAGGCGCTGGGGCCGCCCCCTGGGGGGGCAGGATCGCCCCTTCCCCAGGGCCTGGCCCACCCTTGAGGAAGGGCTCAGCCTCACTGCCCCGCAGAAGCAGGCGCTCGATGTCCCGCAGGGTTTGCAGAGACCGCTCCCGGTGCTCCAGCTGCTCCTTGGAGAGGCCTTCGGTGTTGAGGGGGTTGCGAGGCCCATTCCCTGCTGTGGGGGGGGGCCGTGCTACCCCCCTCCCCCAACAAACCCTCCGCAGTGCTGGCTTGCAGGGAGCTGAGCGTGGTGGGGGTGCTGGGGTGGGTGTTGCTGGGGGCCACGGAGCTGCTGCTGTTGCTGCCGTTTCCCACCGAGTTGGGTGTCAGGTCCTGGCGAGCCTCCTCGGGGGGCCCCTCCGGTGGGAGAGCATTGCTGGAAGAGAGCGGTCCTTGGCCGAGCCCCAGGGGGGCCCCTCCTGGCTGCTGTCCCTGGCTGCTTGGGGGCAGGGCCGGCGGTCCCTGAGGGGTGTTGGCAGGAGACAAGTGGAGCGGCAGGGGCTCCAGAGCACCCGGCACCTTCGGCTGCAAAAGGAGAAAGAAGTGGATTCTGGGGAGGGGGAGCCTGTGGCTGCCAACCCCCCTGCTCCGGCCAGGCCCCCCTCCACTCGGGACAGCCGGTCTGGCCTTCCCAGCAGCCCAACCGGCTGCCCCTCCCCAGCTCCGGCCTTACCTGGTCCAACTTCGCCCGGGGCACATGTTGCTGATGGTAGCCAAGAATGGAGTCTGCCTGGCCCTGAAGGACGGCCTCTGCAGCCCTGCAGACACCCAGAGAGCCGTCAGGGCAGCCCCCCTGTGCCTGGGGCCCAGCTGGGGGGAAGCCCAGCCTCTCTGCGGGAAAACCTCCCCCTGGCTTGGGGCCGGCCCAAGCGCTGCTCAGGGGCAGGGGGCTTACGTGTTGGCCAGGTGTGTGGTGAAGACGTAGACCAGCTGCAGGCCCTGCTTTCCTCCGGCCTCTGGCCGCAATCCGGGGGCCGCGCTGTGAGGGGCGCCAGGCGTGGTGCTCTCGCTCAGGGCCGGCAAAGGGTTGGATCCTGGGCCCAGCTGTGCCCCTGCGCTCATGGCCGGCTCAGCTACGTGGCAATCTGCCAGGGACAACCGGGGCGGTTCAGCAGCTGCGACGGCACCAGACTGGCTGGGGAAGAGCTGAGACAGCTTGGCTTGATGCAGGCAGGGGCAGCCCAAGAGAAGTCACTCCCAGAGGGGCCCAGCACCCCATGAAGGAACTCCCCTCGTCACCCACAAATGTGCAGGCCCCTAACAGGTCACCTCTCCCCCGCCCTCTCCGGAAAGGCCTGCTAGCCCCTGGCCCCAGGGGCCCTGCTCTTGCCCCCAGCAAGGCTGGACACTTCCTCGCCCTGCTGGTGTCCTGGGAAAGCGCCAGCTGACAAGCCAGCACTGAGGAGGGCAGAGAGAAGCAGGAGGAGCTGCTGCTTCTGGGGGCCTTGCTTTGCCAGGGCACGGCTAGGTCTCCCTGGGAGGTCTGGCCACTGGCTCCTTGCGGGCACAGCTGTGCCACAGGGAGGGGCCGCTCTCATGCCTGAGCCCGTGGGCACACTCACTGTGGCCGCTGCCGCCCAGGGACTTGTCGTCATCCTCGCTCTCCGGCCCAGAGCACCACTCGTCCCCACTGTAGGGCTGCTTCCTCTCCAGCACGCAGCGCCTCTTGCTCCGAGGGACCGTCTCGCCTGTCAAGCAAAAGGCTGCGCTGAGCCCGCCTGAAGGGTGGCGCAGCTGGGGGGGCCCAGATGAGATGCCAGCCCCCCTGTGCCTCCTGCTAGCCCTGCACCCTCACCTTTCAACTCCTTGTCCAGTGGGGTGGTACTTGCTTCCCGCCGCTCTCCCGAATCCACAGAGACACTGCGCTCCCGCCTGACTTTGCCCTTCAAGGCCCCAAAGACAGAAACAGGAGCCTGGCTGGCTTTCAGGGCCAGAGGGCCTGCGGTGGGCTGGCCAACTTTGCTGCCCTGGCTCCCTGCCCCACCCACACCTTTAGCCCCCAGGTGGCCGATGGGAGTGGGGCTCACGGGGGTGGGGGGGGCCTGGGAGTGGGCCCTGCCGTTACCTGTCTTTCCATGGTTGGCCAGTTGACTGTCAGGGTGCATTTGACTGGCTGGGGTTTCTGGCAGCGACACTGGAGGAAGCGTCACGTCTCTGGCTCCACCGCCACTGGCACTTCCGGTCGGGCCAAATGCCCCCTGGGTGGGGAGAGGGAAAAAAGAGGGGCACAGACAAGGACAGCCCATCAGAGGGGCAAAGGCCACGGCTGATGCCAACCCCCCTGCTCAGGACACCCACGTGCCAGGGTGTCCTGGAGACCTCCGCCAAACCTGGCAGACCTCATTCCCTACAAGCCCTCAACCTCGGGGCCCAAGAATCTCCCCTGCGGCCCCTGGGAGTTTGCCATCTGGCCAAGTTTTGCCATATCCAGATGTTCTCATCCAAAGATCGCCGTGTTGTAGAACTGGCCAAGGCACGGCAGACTCCTCCAATGATGGGGGAATATGTGGGTTGGGCGGGTGGGAGGCAGGATTAAAGATGTTCAGACCTATTGGAGAAGCAGCATATGGCTTCTGCAGAACTAAGCCTTAATTTTTCAATCTTCAACAGATTTTTGGACAGAGGCAAGTCTTCTAAGGCTTTAAAACTTCGCGATGAGTTGGGATAAGAGAAAACACAGGAGAGAAACAACCAGCAATTCTTCCAGCAGACAAATATGAAAAGTTCCACATAGAAGTGCTGGGACCAATATCTTCACAAGTGGAGTCTGGGCGGAGCACTAAAATGATCCAATTGGCTTACGATCCAAAATCATCTTGCATGATTAAGGAAACGAAGAACCCCCGAGGCCTTCAGAAGCCCCTCTCCAAACTGCTGGACACTAAAAAGCAAAATATGCAAAAAAAAAAAAAAAACCAAACCCCATAAATAGGCCTCCCTGGTTGGGACTGAGGAGGAAAGGAATTTTCGATAGCCATTTAATGAAAACACACCCCGATTGTCTATTTGCTAAAAAAAACATGCAAATTCCACCTTGGGAATCACTGGAAAGGAACTGGCATTAACCATACAAATTCATACAAATCTATGATACGCCGGAGAAGCCCACACAGTTCTGTATGAACACCTATATTGTACTGTAACCATTGACAATGTGCAGCAAGGTGGCTAGTGGGCCAGAGTGCACCTTGTAGCATTTTGGGGAAAAGGCAAGCAATAGACGATGGGAAAGGGGCCAAGAGAATCCAAAGGGATAGCTGAATGGGGGAGTTTCACAACAGGGGAAGGGGAAGACCCCAGCCCACTCTCTGCCACACCACGGGAGGGCAAAGCCCCCCCCCCCAATGGCTTTGAGAAGAGGTCACTCTCAAGGCCCGTGGGTGGCTCTGGATCCCCTCCAGCCCTACCTTGGAGTACCAATTTCAGGGTCCTTTTAAGGTCCCTCGCAGGGTGGGGGCCGCCCTAGCCCATCCCGTGACCTGCACCTGTCTCTGGCTAGCAGGGGCTCCAGCCAGGGGGGAGGGAGGGGGGCTCCTTTGTGACACCCTCTCTCTTTAAGTCTCCATCGTCACGTGGGCCAGCTAAGCCTCTGGGGGCCTATTAATAGCAGCTGGAAAGATCACATCACTCCGGGGATATTTATATTCCTCCTTCCACACCAGGAGAGATTTATTTCCAGCCTGCTGAAGAGGGAGACCGGCGTACAAGTTACCTGCAGGAGAGCCGGCTCTAGGCAGGGTGGCAGGCCCAGCCTCAGGACCCCGATGACTCCCACTCTCCCCCAACTGGCACCCCCCAAGCATCCTCCTGGAGCGCAGGGCCCACCTGTGCCCCTCCTGGCCCTGCTGGTGGGAGGATCCTGGGCTGCTACCCTACCTGCCTCCCCTGAGTGGCTCCAGCATCTCCTATGCCCAAGTCACATGGCTCCCTGGGCACCTGCTGTCTCCCTGCCCCTAAAGGATCCGTAGCCAGGGGCCGCTTTGGAAAGCTCAGAGGCAGGTCAGCCCTCCAGGCCCAAAAATCTCCCAAGGGAGTGTCCACATTGCCAGCCTCTGCCCTGGAGCCAACATTCCCTCAGGCGATGGGTCCCCCTTGAGGCTGGATTCTTCTGAGGGGTTCTGAAGCCCCACCAGCTTGCTCACTCTCTGAGAAGCCCCATGGGACCCTCCAACACAGGTGCTCAAACCACACAACCGTTCCCATGAAACATGGGAATGGCTACCCAAGGTAAGACTAAGGATGACAAACAGGCCTTGGCAGAATGGCACAATGCCCCTCAGCTGGAGGCCCCTGAGCCCGAGGGTCCCTGGGAGAACCAGGTGCTGGATCAGAGAGGCCAAGGAGATGAAACCCTGGGGGTCGGGTTGGAGGTCTGGGACTCTGTCAAGGAAAGAGAGGGGACACACCGCAGGCAGAGAGGGGTGTTTCACTGAGCCTGGGACCCTTTTCTAACCCTTCTTACTTCCAAGGGATGCTCCTTGCAAGAGCTTGTGCCAAGAAGCACAGGGAAAATTAAGTATATTTCCAGGTGAAAATAGGATGGGGCAATTTCCCCAGTGAAATCCCAATCTGGAGAAAGCCTCCACCTTTCCATGGGACCCTCCAGGTGAATGTTTGGGAAGTCTAAGCAGAAGGAATCGAAGGAAGGAGGGCTCTAGGGAAGGGCAAAGTCACTTGGAGCAGAAGGGGGGGGGGGGGGGG